GATCTTCTAGCAAAAATCTAGAGCATCAGCTTGCGGAATCATAGTGTCTTCATCCCAACGATTGTCCGACTAATAAAAACTTAGTCGATATCGTCGCTCTTCGAAAGAACCAAAGACACTTTTTCCACAGAGATCTATCCTAGTCATACAAGTTATGGAATATGATACAACTGAGTTTCAACTTTCAACATAAACCAGTGAAACAGATGAACAACTGTTAAATAAAGCACATATTAAAAATACACGTACATATGTTATATAACACAAAAAGAGTCATCGTAATACAAACACATGATGAACAAAAAGATGGTTTCGATTCTGGGATTGTAACGAACGAAAGGGAATTAGATTCCTGCAACTTCTCAAATGCGCAGCAGCCAAGAGCCATGGGAATTACAAAACCGGTTAATTTCTCATGTGAAGCGGTTTCATCTACAGCAACATGGAAGTAGGGGAAGGACCAAACAAAAATGCGACGTACCAGTATTTTGAATGGCATGAAATAAGAAAATTTTGTTCAGTAATGGTTCCAGAGTAAACGTCTGTTCATGGCTGGTGGAGCTAGGCCTGGTAGGATATCTTTGTTGTTTGGGTTCACAATCTATAAGAAAAAAGTAGAAGTTAAGAGTGTGAGTACAATAATCNCACAAATAGCATATGGAAGGAAAGATAGTGAAGTTGAGTTTAGAAGAGATGAAATTAACAAATCAAAGAGGAGACAACTTTACAGGAGAAAACTTCATTGAATAACTGGCTAAAGAAAAATTGTGACAAGTCAAAAACCTCTACCTGATAAAATCATGGAAGACCATGAAAAAATAACGGAGTAGGTAAATAAGATACACATTTGAATAATAATAAAGGAGTTGAGAGGTACCTTGACGATGATGATTGCTATAATACCAATGACAATAAGGAAAAGAAATGCCATAATACATTTGTCCGTGGCAACCTGGGATAAGAAGGGCAGAAACAGTACGTAAAAGGGACGAGAGAACTGCATATATATAGGAAATGTATAAATAAGGAGATTCTGGAGACTGACCTGTCTACCAATTTCCTTGACCAGCTTAGAGGCCTTCTTGAGTGAGAAATGAATAGAATCAAGTTCATTGACAACTCTACTCATTTGCTCGGTCTGAACAATGAAAAGGTAAACTATCTTAGTTCTCATAACACGTAATGTTGTAAAGAACAACTGAGATTCTGAAAGAAGCACTGCTTGTTTGGAAACAAGGGAGTGTGGCCTAACTACAAACCTGAGCCTTGAGAGCTGCAGAAGTATCTGTTCCCACATTTATCGTCTCTTGAACAATCTGTTGTCAAAGCCATAAAAATGCACTGAGCTTTTTTACTTTTATGAAAATGAGAAAATGGACAGAAGTTATCAGATGGCACAGCTCCATGTATAGCAGGCGGAAATTTCGGGAGACGATTGAGATTCAAATAATATGTAAACAAGAAAAAAAAAAAGGTACCGACCTTTTTCCCTCTTTCAATGGCTTGATCTGTCTCATCCATCATCGAATTTCCTTTATCCATTAGTTCTTGATTGGACATGTCTGGAATAATTAAGTACTCTATTAGGTGTATATTCATATAACAAGGGACCAGGATCCAAAGATGTGCAATAAACATCCTATAAAGAAGTAGATTTAAAAGAGCTTACTTGAAGCTAGTAAGACGTTCTCTTCCATATGTTCTTCTGCGGGTCCATCGAATAGATCTACTCGCTTATTATTGCTTGCTAGGTTTGATGAGTATCTGTACAACCAATCCTCATTAATCATCAATCACCATAATCATGAAAACAAGCAACAACAAAAAGAAACACAATCAATAGGCAAATTTCACGTACTTCTTCTTAAGAGCAACATATGAGTTTAGTTCCTTAACCTGCACAAACACAACATCACCTGACAATTAGAAAACTCTGAAAAAATCATTGAACAGACATCACTAATGACTATGAGAAAATGTCAACTCAACATACCATAGATTGTCGTCTATCGTTCAACATCCGGTTAGTATTGGCATCGTTTACGGTTTCCAAGCTTTTAACTTCCTTATCGAAATCTTTAATAAGACTGCAAATGAGAAGGCATCATCATCAAAAATTCACCAAAAACTAGAAAAACGAAATCAAGGATTTGTTGTTGTTACCTCTTACAGTCACGCATTTTGTCAGTGAGTTCTTCAAGCTGCCTACTTTGCCTATTAGCATCTTTGATCTTCTCCAGCTTCTGGAATCCATTTCTGACCAAGACATAACAACATTACGGACCCAACAAAAGAACCCAGATCACAAAAAAAATGGAGAAAAAAGGTAAAGAGATTTGTCCTTACGACAAAGCACGGAAAAGGTCATTGATTTGTCCTTCGATCTCAGCCAGCTCTTCGCTAACCGCAGATATTGGATCCATCGCTTATACAAAGACAAGAATGTCTCTTCTTCAGATCCACCAAACAATGGCGATTGAGTTTTTCAAAATGTCGAGCACGATTGAGATCCGTATGGATCCGTAATGGTGAAACTGCAGAAGATCCGAATCGAATCACTTGGTCTTCGTGACCTCGAACAAAACAATCGAATTTTGATGTCAAAATTACGGAAACGAAACGCGTAAATCCGTAATCTCAAACCCGTGGGTGTTTTTGGTTTTGTGTTTCCAGATCTACGAACAATGTGAATGTCCAAAATCGATAACAAAGAGACAAAAGAACAAAATCAAAATCTCGAGCACAAGCT